CGGCTATGGTGTGGCTGCCAGAACCGAGTCCTGGTCCTCAACCCTGACACCTTGCAGCTGGAGGTAGCAATAGGGATGGATGGGGGTGGGGGGGTGGGGGGAGAGTTAGGGTGAGCCCGGCCTACAAGAGAGGGAGATGGGACTATGGAGGGGGGGGGGGGGAGATAAAAAAATATCCAGCTATCCAAGGAGAGGCCAAATCATTCAGAAGTCATGGGGGAAGGGCTCCTCCCTTTTAATGTCTGAGGATTAAGTGGGGAGGCTCCCCTTAAACTTGGGTAGATTAATCACCCGGACCAGGGAGCAAAGCTGCCTTTGCTGTCCATGGGGGGGGCTTTCTGGGGAGGTGTGGTGTGGGTATAAGGAGGGAGGGACGGGTACTGGTGAAGCACAAGGCAGGGAGGGGACAGGAAAGGGAGGCCTGCCAGTCACCCATCTGCTCTCTAAACCCCCCCCCCCCCCCCCCCCCCCCGGAAAAGTGTTTTGGTGGGGAGGGATTCACCCCCAACGTGGCGGTGGGGGGGAATCCCGCCCGGGGGGTTGGGGGACCTTTAAAAGGAAGGGCCCTGGTGGTTCTCCTCCCTCCCGACACCTTTTTGGCGGCGTGGCAAGGGAGGAATGCCCCTCCCCCCGCGCCCCAGGAACTTGGGCAGGAAGGGGGCTCAAGTCACCAATCTTTTTTCCTCCGGGAGTTTTTCCCGCCCCCTCCACCACCGGAGACCAGGCACGAAGGGGCCTAACTCTTTTTTTTCCCCCCCCCCGGACGTAGCCCCTTCACCGGGGAGAAAGGATGTCTCTCGTCTCGGATACCAGCGTATTCCTGGGCACGTGGGGATTGCTGTTGGTGAGGCCGCTCCCCGCTCCCAGCTGCAAGTCGAGCGCTGAGGGGAGGAGTGCCTTTCCAGCCTTGACCTTGGCTGTTTCTGGATCTGTCCGTGGCCTTCTCTGTCCCACAGGGGCAGCCCAAGCCACCAATCGGGAGAACATCCAGAAGGCCATCAGCCGCCTCGACGAGGACCTGACCACCCTGGGCCAGATGAGCAAGCTCTCGGAGAGCCTCGGTTTCCCCCACCAGGTCTGCTCCTCTGCCTGAGGCTGCCTGCAGTTGAGGGCGGGGATCCCCTGAGCCTCTCCGAGGGAGAGGACATCCCTGTCACTCATCTAAGAGGGAAAACAGCCTCACCCCATCAGAGGGAAGTAGTGTGTCCCAAGCCTGAGGTGGAGACACAGGTCCATCCCCAGCTGAGAGCTGAGGGAGGAGAGAGGCCCATCCTGTCAGTGGGGGGAAGGCAGACTTCCTCTTGGTCTAAGAGGGGCGACAGAGTCCCACTTTCTGTGGGGGGGGAGGCAGGTCCCCATC